CTCTCTCTCTCTCTCTCTCTCTCTCTCTCTCTCTCTCTCTCTCTCTCTCTCTCTCTCTCTCTCTCTCTCTCTCTCTCTCTCTCTCTCTCTCTCTCTCTCTCTCTCTCTCTCTCTCTCTCTCCCTCTCTCTCTCTCTCTCTCTCTCTCTCTCTCTCTCTCTCTCTCTCTCTCTCTCTCTTTTCTCTCAGAGCCGAGGGCTGTCACACAAACAGGAGTGATATTTTTTAGGACACTTGTTTCAGTGATATCTGTTAATAGGGTGATTTTATGTGTGCTGTTCAAAAATAGCTTTAAATTTAAGTATGCAAAATATTTTCATTTTAGTCAATTACATTTTTTTGGTGTCCATAATTTAATAAGGATATTTTATAAATTAGTTGATGATATAGTGACTTGATTGTATTAAATTTGTTTAACACATCGTCTGCACAATTTTGCTTTAGTCTCCTTTATAAAGGAGACTTACCCAAACAATAGGTCAATATACATAGGCTAAACATGTCCCTTGAAGCTGAAAGCTTTATTTGTTGTCTTTTGTTTTACTTTGTTTTGAAATTTGTAAATTAAAACGTCAATGTTTGTCACAAACACCTTTATATTAGAAAGGATATAATTATATTTCCTAGTTTCCAAATATCAAATAAAAGCTACTTTTCGCAAGCACCACAACATTTTACATATTAATAAAATAAATTCCCTCTTAACACTCGTGGACTTTATTTACACCGGAAGTAGCCTTTGCCAGTGTGGTGATCACGTGACAGACGCTCTCCCCAGAGAGCACTTCCGGTAACGTTTCCTGTGTTTGTAAACTGAAAAGATTGTCCGACAAGAAAATATTGGGCTACTGTAAACGAAGACGAGTAAGGTAAAACAAATGTGCGCAGCCTGCGGTACTGCTTTTATTAAACCTACAGCAACATTTAAAAAAAGATTCACTGTTTTAATTGCACTGAAATATGAAGTTAAATAGACGGTGAACTCACGCCCTGTTGTGCTGCAGGATGAATGGAGGAGTTTACGTTAGTAACGTGTTTACAGTTCAGACTGAAGAAAAATGAATTTCACTCGGAAATTGAGATTGTAAATATCTGAATTCGCGCATTTAGTTACTTTTAACCCGTTCAGACCTGAATTCTATTCTGCAGACACAAATAAGGCAATGTTTTATTTCTACTCTCAATTCAGCCATACATTGATTTTATATTGTATTATTATATATAATTTAGCCATATATGAATATATATTATAGCATATGATTCTGTCATATATATATGATTATTATTAATAGTTATTTCATTACTATGCACGTTGGTTATGAACAGTAACAATGTCCAGATATCTGTGCATATGGATTTTATATGTTCATAAGTAACTTTAAATACATATATTTTATAAAATGAACTTTAATAAATTTAGTCTTAAATAATGCTACATTTTTGTGCTTTACATTTTTTTAAGTTTTTTTTTTAAGTGAAATTTTTACATGCATATTAAAGTTAATGGTAGTTAAATTGAAATGATTAGCCTATTTATTATGAATTTCACTCTGGGGAGCAAGCAAAGCTACATTTATTTTTGTGTTTGTAAACACATTTGTGGTTCAGGCTCGCAACTTTTCGAATTTTTTAGAAAGTCATATGTATCTGTGCAATTATGTCTTGTGCCACGGCATTAATATATTTACTAAGACGTCACTAACTAACTAAATAAATAAAAGTGATGTCCATTGTAACAGTCACTGGGTCTGAGCGGGTTAATACTTGCTTTAATTTGCATGCATATATCTCATGGTTTCTAATAAGCACACCAAACCGCAAAGAAGTTTGATTTATTACCTATAATTACAGGCTAAATGAGTTATAATAGAGTGTATTACATAGACGCAATTGAGTTGTTCTTGTAAAGTTTGTTTTCTTTGGCTTAATTTGCTGTAGATTGTAATCTGTTTGCCATGTGATAAGACTGATGCAATTTTATTTTCTATCTCCTGGAATTAATTTAACCTCCAGGACCCTGCCGGTTGCCAAATCCCCTCACGAGCCGAACGAATGGAAATCACAATATACAATATTCACCCACTCACCTCGATCTATATGTCATTGTGATCATACTATGTTAATTTTGTCTAGTGCAATATCTTTCATTGTCCAGTGGCTTCCGTGCCTCGTTTTGTTCATTCATGATTTATAGTTGTGTTTATCTGGATCTTTGAGGGTGAGTTAGTCGGACTAATGCACAGGAATAAGCGATGGAAGGAAAGAGGGTGGTTGAAATAAATCTGTTTTTTATTCCAGTGAGTCCCAGAATCCGACCAACCAAATCCAAAATCAACAGGGCGTAAACGCTCGGATGTATTCCTACCATTTGAATTTGACAGAACCGATGAGAATCCACTCCACTCAGCTTTAGTTTTGACCTGGTTTGTTTCCAGATGTCATTTAGGGACTCTTGACGCCAATCTGAAGCCAAACTCTTATGGCTTAAAAACACAGCCCTATAAGCCTACATAAACAAAAGCTTGGCAATGCAGACATGGAAAATGTCTGATTCTAAGCGAATAAAAGCCATGATTTGTCCACGGTTGACAACTTCTGTTAGTGGTGGGCTAGATGTGTATTAATATCATAGACAGAGATGGATATTATCCTGGCTTTATATCCCCCCCCCTTCTATTTCTAGGCTTGGGCCCCTGATGGTTGGGGCTTGTGTGGTCTCTAAACACTCTCCCTGCCCCGAGCGAAGCTCTCTGTACCCCAACACACACACACACACTCTCACCACTGCGATGTCACACCTTTCCAACAGCTCAGTGCGAGATCACATGAAATGGGTCAGTGTGTTTTTTCTCTTCTTCATTTGCATTTTCAGCATTTGTCCACATTTGTTTGAAAAAGAAGGCCTTCATTTTCCTTTTGCTTGGCGTTTCTGTGTATTAACTCTTTGTAATTCACTTCCACAGCGTGACTTGACACAAAACGTACACAGATTTGTTTACAAGTAATGGGGTGGATCTCACAAAAGAACGTATCTGGGACATATTTCTCCCAAAATTATATTTTGCATGAAGTTAAGCCTTTTTAGGGCCATTTGGGATTTTTAAAAACATTTTAATTACAATTAAGCACATTTCACAAATTATATCTTTACCTGATTATAGATTTTATTTTACTGCATTACACTGACAAATTACTGTATTGCAATAATGAGAATGACCTTTGTGAATAATACGGTACTGTAAGTTGTGGGGAAAGATGTGCATAATTCTTATAACAATGTCATAATGCAAAAATCTTAATAACCTAAAAAATATTATAATATTATTATTATTTTTGCATAAATTGTGTATTTTTGGGTCATTGAGACAATAATGTAAAATGTATTTAATTTGACCATTTTTGTCTCAATGATCCTAAAATACATAATTTATGGAAAAATATTAATAATAGTTTTAATAATAACAATTTTGCATAATTTATAATTACTACTACTAATAATAATAATATAAATTGTGTATTTTAGGATCATTATGACAATGTTAATAAAAATATTTATATGAATTATGTATTTTAGGATCATTAAGACAACAATGTTAATAACGGCACAATATATGACATAATTAAACAGGTTCATATAACAGTCAGTATTATTGTTATTATTATTATTTGTATAATTACGTTTTAAGGATCATTAAGATGACATTGCTTATAATTATATTATTATTTGCATGCATAATTTATTTTTAGGATCATTAAGATGATAATGTTGTTAATAATAATAATAATAATAATAATAAGGTTTAATATTATTATTATTATTATTCATTTATTTTAAGTATTTTTGGCTATTGCTACAAATATACCCAAGCGACTTAAGACCGGTTTTGTGGTCCAGGGTTACATATATATATTTTTTATTATTATTTCATGGTAAAATGCCCATGGCATGTTCTTGACATAACTGAATAACAATGGCCTCTGAATTAATTTGACAGATCGTGAAAGTGGTAACTGGGTCACATTTGTCCGATTTCAAGCTAAATTTCCAACCCATCAGATTAGTGACTTTGGGAAGTGTTGTTAGTTTGTTTTTGAACAGATGTGTATGTTTGTGGTTATATTTCTACACAGGCTGGGTTGCTCGGCTGTGAAGCGGTGCTGTCCAGTATGGCACTCATGCAGGCCGGCTCCATGCCCAGGCATAAGAAGATGGGCTCTCATCTGGGCCAGGGACAGAGAGAAAACAATCACAGCCACAATCACAACCAGGACACCCACAGCCAGCACGGCCACATGGTGCTTCCCTCAGGAGTCAGCTGCCCACCACTGGTAAGGGAAAAATGCATGAATTGTGTTGGGAAAGAAAGTCATATTGGTCTGGAATGAATTTTTGAGGTGAACTATTCATTTCAATTTTGAAAGTCTTCCATAGAATCCTGTAGCTAATACTAAGGTCATGGGTTCAATTCCCAGGGAATGCATGAAATGGTAAAATATGTGTTTTGAATGCAATTTGAATTGCTTTGTTTGGATAAAAACTACCAAATGCATAAATATACACTACCATTCAAAAGGTTGTGTATATATATGAAGAGTTTATTCGCAAAAACCCATAACTCTGTTTTTATTAATTTTCGTAAATTGTTTTTTATTGTGTTATCATGTTTTATTGTGTTAGTTAGCTGTATTTTTTTAGTTATTATAATTTAATCAAAACAACCCAACTGCAGTTTTATTGATATTAATTGGAATGCAAGATTAAAAAAACAGGATTTTTGAACATTTTTAAGTTATCTTCATATACATTTAACTCTTTAATTCAACAAGGATGCATTAAATTGATCAAAGGTGACAGCAAAGACATTTATAATGTTACAAAATATTTCTTTGTTCTTTCTAAGAACTTTCTATTCATCAAAGAATTCTAAAAAAAACCACAGTTTCCACAAATATATTAAGCAACACAATTATTTTCTACATTGGTATTAAAAAAGTTTTTCTTGAGCTGCAAATCAGCATATTAGAATGATTTCCGAAGGATCATGTGACACTGAAGACTGGAGGAATAATGCTGAAAATTCAGTATTGCATCACAGAAATCAATTACATTTTCAAATATATTCAAATAGAAAACAGTGATGTTGAATGGTAACAGTATTCAACAATATTTCTGTTTTTACTGTATTTTTGATTAAATAAGTGCAGTCTTGGTCAGAGGCTTCTTTCAGAAACATTTTCAAAAATCTTGCTGACCCCAAACTTTTGAACAGTAGTGTATATTTAAAGTCTAGTGGCTGGATATATATATTTTTTGAAATACTTCTGAATTGATTAACTTCATATGTTATAAAATCATTTGCATTCAATTCGGTGACTTTTATATACTCTGTTTTTGTACAGCTCATCCGCAAGGACGGAGAGTTTCACTCTTCCAGGCTCTTGGATGAAAAAGACATGCGAGCCAGCCAGAACGTGCAGCCAAAGAAGAAGAACAGGAAGTCTGGACTTCCCACCAAAATGAGAGAAAAACCCCAGGCATGCGTTCAGTCTGTCTGCAGTATTGCTCTGTGATTTTGCCTGTTTATCACATTTACACACTTCGCTCGTATTCTGACCGAATGCTCTTTTCTTCTGTATGTGACGTGAAGGTGGAGATTCCTGACGTTAATGACGATAACTCACTCAGCTCTCAAGTGCAGAAGAATTTCATATGTGAGCACTGCTACAGTGCTTTCCGCAGTAGCTACCACCTCAAACGGCACATTCTCACCCATACGGGTACGCCATAAGCCTTTCTGCTCACACGTCATCTTACGATTCATACAAAGAGATGCATGAAGTAAGTATGTCTACATCTGTTTGTGTTTTAGGGGAAAAGCCATTCGGGTGTGATATGTGTGACATGAGGTTTATTCAGCGCTACCACCTGGAAAGACATAAGCGTGTTCACAGCGGTGAGAAGCCTTATCAGTGTGACCGCTGCCAACAGGTGAGACATGACAAACATGGGCAGTTGTATTCACAGGGACCTTGCTGTTTGCCCATTACGTGCATAAATGTATGTCTTTATGATAGTATTACAGTACTTTTTTAGTGTCTGACAACATAACGGGGGCTTTATATGTTTGTGATATGACAAATTCACAAAAAGTGAAACAGGATATGTAAGGAGCAAAAGCTTCATTGTATCCATCAGGAATCAGTTTCATCATTAAAAATGGTTATTTTGTTAGAATGAAGTGAAGTAGTTGAAGGGGAGGAGTTGAAAAATAAGAGCTTGGTGATGCTAGCTAAAGAATCAGCGCATAAACACATTTCATTACACCAAATACACAAAATAATGTTCTTTTTAGCAGCATCATATGACCCCTTTAAGAGTTAAAATAGTTAAAACTATATTTTAATATTTAGATGATGGACAGTTTGAAGAGTTTTTTTATTTTGAATAACTGACTATAACACTGATTACTAATAAATTGTGCACAATAAGACTAGAAATGTGTATTAAGAAAGTAAATTTGGTAAGTTTTGCTTGCATGTTGACATTTCATGTTGATTTTGCCTTTATCATTGTGATAGCAGATTATTAACCAAATCTTAATGCATATACTTTTATGAGTGCGTATGCCTGAATTATGACAGAAAACTTGATATAATATTGTTTTCAAGCTGGTAGGACAATTTAGCTGGCAAAAATCATGATCTGAGTCTGATTTGGTCTGCAAGATTAAAAAAAAGAAAGAAATATAATACTTTTATTCAACAAGTATGCATTAATTTGATCAGAACTGACAGTAAAAACATTTATAATATTACAAAAAAAATTGTTTCGAATAAATGATGTTCTTTCTATTCATCAAAGAATCCTGAAAAAAAAAGATCAGTTTCCACAAACATATTAAGCTGTTTTTCTAAACATTGATAATAATAAGAAATGTTTCTTGAGCACCAAAAACAGAATGATTTCTGAAGGGTCATGTGACACTGAAGTAATGGCAGCTGAAAATATAGCTTTGCCATCACAGGAATAAATTACATTTTTAAAATAATTAATATTCAAATAGAAAACAGTGATTGCAAATTGTAGTTATATTTCACAGTACTACTGTTGAACTGTATTTCTGATCAAATAAATGCAGCCTTGAACATTAACATTAATAATGGTGCATTTTTACATCAAATACACAATGTAATTCATATACTCGAAAACATAGTGATTACCAAACAATAAGACCATAGTTCCAACAAAAGAACACTTTAAATGGCATGCAGGGGCTTTTGGGAAATTGATTCACTGGGAATCAGTGAATCAGTTCATTTAAAGCATGTCCAAAAGAACCAATTCATTTAAACCGCATGTCTTCTCTTGTGAAAAAAAAAAGAGGCTAACTCAGTCTTCTATCACACAGAACTTTTCCAGAACTGACCGGTTACTACGGCATCGACGTTTGTGTGCCGTGGGCATCCCTAAAGAGGAGAACCAGCCGTGCTGTGAGGGACGGTCATATTCTCAGGACCCCTCCCAGCACTCGGCGTCCTGGAGCCCACTGCAGACAAACAACAGCAGGCTGGCGGCGTGACAGCCTTCCAATCGCGTACAAAACACAATGGACTCGCCAACATGACCTGACCGGGGGTCTGAGCCTGTAAAAGCTGTTTAAAGACTCCAACACGTCCAGCTCTGATTCACTCGGCTCAACCCCAGTGGACTCTTTTATACTGCTTAGACTCTGGGAAATAGCGCATTTTGTATTTTAGACGGTACTGTGATCAGCAGGTGGGTTAGTTGTGCATTCAGTCCAGGCAATAATGACTTCTGGTAGTTTAGAAACGCTTCCTTTTGTAGTTCCCATGCAGGACTGTAGATTGTTGGGATTCTCAGTGTTACAATGCGCTTTCATTTACTGTTGTTCTGGGAAATATTGCGAGCAAAATCCAGTAATTTCAATAGGAATCTGCACAATTGGGAGTTTCGCATGAGGCTGAAAAAGTTCCCCATGCAGATTTAGCTTCTTTTTAAGTTGGTCACACAAATTCACAGCTTAGACCAACAGAAAGCTACTTGGTTTTAAAGTGACTTGTGCTACATGCATCACTACACTATTGACAAAAGACAATGGGCCTTTTTCTCACAAAATTTCACTGAATTTACAGAATTACAAACAAGTCAGCCGTAGTGACAGTAGACACATTCTGATACAATACATTTTCTCAGTGTGCACATTAATGCATCATTTCCTATTACGTGAAAAGTGTTTTAAAACCCATTAAAGAAATAGTTCACTGAAGAATGAAAATTTGCTGAAAATTTACTTACCCTCAGGCCATTGAAAAGTCTGTTTCTTCATCGGAACAGATTTGGAGAAATTTAGCATTACATCACTTGCTCACCAATGGATCCCCATCCTTTGAATGGGTGCCGTCAGAATGAGAGTCCAAACAGCTGATAAAAACATCACAATAATCCACAAGTAATCCATATGACTCCAGTCCATCACTTAACGTCTTGTGAAGTGAAAATCTGCATTTTTGTAGTAAATTAATCCATTATTAAGACTTTTTAAAACTTCAAACAGCCGTTGCTTCTGGCTAAAATAATAATAAATAAAATAAAACCATAATATTGCTTTCTCCAGTGAAAAAGTAATCTCGTCTGAATCAGGAGAGAAAAATGCACAGATTAAACACCGTTTACAAGCCAAAACAGTCTAAAACACAAATATGTCGGTGGATTTTGATATGAGAGGACAACAGGAGATGGGCTTTTTGTCTGGAGGAAACGTTATGTATTATGAGCTGGTATTTTGGTCAAAAGCAATAGTTTAAAGTTAAAAATTCCTTAATTTATTTCCTTTATACTTCACAATGTATTTCATGAACTGAAGTCTTGTGGATTACTTGTGGATTATTGTGATGTTTTTATCAGCTGTTTGGACTCTCATTCTGACGGCACCCATTCACTCCAGAGGATCCATTGGTGAGCAAGTGATGTAATGCTAAATCTCCTCAAATCTAATTTGATGAAGAAAGAAACACAACTACATCTTGGATGGCCTGAAGGTGAATAAATTATTAGCAAATTTCCATTTTGGGGTCAACTGTTCCTTTAAATACTGTGATAACGGCTCATGGCCATTGACAGCTTTACACAGGCCTTTACGGTTTTAGCAGAAACATCTGGAACATCATCCATCCTACATCCACAGGAGAGCTCATTTTTTTGTGGCCTACATTATGGTGTCAAGCTTTTGAAGTTGGCCTTTCGGTCAACTTGAACACTGACTTTTCACCGAGTATTTGCATATGAATGACAAATTTCGTCAAAGTATGATGGGACTCACGTGGTAAGTCTGCGAGCATCTCAGTTTCTCTTCTGAAGTCACTGGATTGACAAAGCCGAGCCAAGAATAACAAAGAAAACCTTTTAACAGGTTGTACAGTTCATAGAGAGACAGATGTTGATATAAAACCGCTAGTTTTTCACAGAGGTCTCGTTACGTTTCTTATCATGTAGACCTCGGAACACAGATTCTGACACAGTCAAGTTTGAGTTAATATATATTTTTCAGCATTTTAAATAATTTAAATAGAAACTGTAGTAGGATTAGACTGCTGCCACTGTCTTGACGTAGCAGATTCACTGTATTTTTTTTACGTGTACACTTGCATGTTCATTTCGTTACGCATATACAGAAAAAGGACTTGTATTGTGATTGTTTAAAATAATGAAAAACGCTTTGATCCATTTGTTTGGTATTTTGTATCGCTCTCAAACATGAACTACAGGTCAGCTTTATTCTATCCTGTTAGACACCATATAGTGAGTCCTAGGACCTCAAGTTGACAATAAATTTTCTTTTAAAAAAAGTGGCTTCTGTTTTACTCTGCACGAGCTTAGTTGTATTTATTTGTACTTTTATAGTTTATGAACTGATAGATAATCTTCATCAGCACTAAGACTATTTTCTGACTTAAAAAAAAAAAAAAAAGTTATGGGTTTGATTCCCAGCTAGTAAGCTGATAAAATGTGTATCTTGAATACACTGTGAGTCACTTTGGATATAAGCATTTGCCAGATGCATTAAATATATACTGTTGTTTGTAAGAAATATGCTACCATTCAAAAGTGTAGGTTTGGTAAGATTTCTCAGAACAGAACTCTGCAGGCTGCATTTGATGAAAAAAAGTAATGTGAAATATAATTAGAATTTGAAATAAATTCAATCTTGAAATAACTTTTCTAATTCAATATAAATGTATAAATGTCATTTATTCCTGTGATGGAAAAGCAGTTAAAGCTACTTTTTAAAAAATTATTTTAAGAACAGCATCTTTCAACATCTTTTAAAGAACAGCATTTATTTGAAATAGAAATCATTTAATGCATCCTCACTAAATATAAGTAATAATTTCTTTCAACAAAAAAAATCTTACTGATCCAAAAATTTTGAACGTTAATGTACATGCTTACCAGCAGGTGGCGGAATCCACCAATTTTCAACAAGTGTGCCGAAGCATATAAACAGATTTTGCCTTTAAAAGTCCTTAAAAGTTATTTAGCATATTGTTTTGGGATTTTATTTTAGCTGTCATCATTCACTGCCTGCATGCCTAACATATATGGGCCTAGATATGGGCCTAGTATGCTCTACATGCTGTATAAATAAAACAGCTGTTTCCATATGATCCAGTAGAGGGCGATGTGTTCTTTGACATGTAAATATATATATTACAATTTAGTGAAGTTGTACTTCTTTCTTAGCTCTATTTTGACTCTAAAATACTACTATTATATACTTAAGTATAATTTTAACCCACAATAGAAGCAACTTTCATTGCAGTATGGGACTATTATTAATAAAGTGTATGTATTGGAAAAAAGAGTTTAATGCTGGCAAGATGAATTGATATTTCCAGCAGAAATGTAATGGAGTGAAACGTTCAAGGCAGCTCAAACCGCATTGCCAGCGAGGGAGACAGAGTTAGACAAAGAGTCTGGCTTTGTGTTGCTTCACTGAGGCCATAGCCCTCTCCTCTCTAGCCTGACTGCTGATCCTGATTTATAACACCCGTGGGCTGAGAGCACTTAACACACTCGCTTTTAAAGCCAAGGTGGACGAGAAGAGATTCTTAGACATGGCCGTGCTACGTTCATACGATTCGAGACCGTCAAATCATCGCTGAAAGTCCTAAAACGGCTTCTCAGCACACAAATGTCGCACATGCACACATTTGTATACTACTATTTGTATTAAAATATGGCCTTATTTCACATGCGACCCTCCCCAAAATCCTTAATGTAGGGCCTAATTCACGTTAAATTGCATGTACCGCAGTATTTAATGTTTAATTCATAGATTAATCAACCTTCTCTTATACGCCGCTGCAGCCATCTGTCATTCTGCTGACAGCGTACCTTTACGTGTTAATTAACGATGATATTTAACCAAGCAGAGGTGCGCAGTGCCCGTCAGCGAGGCAGCCATCTTCATAAAAATTTCAGTCTTCTCTGATACAGCTGCATACATGGGCTACGGATTAATACAGTGGCCCCAAAACGATGGAAGTGAAATATTAAAGTGTTGGGACTTCTTTAGGAGTGGGGTTAAACATATTGGCTGGTAACTGTAAGATTGTAGGTTTAAACTGTCCTAAAAGTGATCTTGAACTATTATCGTTGAGATGTTTCAGGATTTGAGTAAGTACAGGGCCGTAAGCGGCATAGATATTAAAGGCGTTTTCAGATGATCAATGTGGGGTTTTCAGTGAACCAAAATTATTTTTTGTTTCCCTCCAGTATTGAATATTTGGTTATATCCTACATTTATTTCCTTATGTTCAAGTTAACACTCACAATTATAGTTCTCATGAAGATTTTTTTAAAAGAAGCCTCAACAAGACTGCATTTATTTGATCAAAAATACTGTCAAATCAGAAATATTATTGCAATTTAAAATAACTGTTTCCTATTTGAATATATTTTACAATGTAATTTATTCCCGTGCTGAAAAGCTGAATTTACAGCATCATTACTCCAGTCTTCAGTGTCACATGATCCTTTAGAAGTCATTCAAATATGCTGATTTGCTGCTAATGAAACATTTATTATTATTATCAATGTTGAATGAAGTTGTGGTAAATGTGCTTAATATTTTTGTGGAAATGGTGATACTTTTTTTTCTGAATTCTTTGATGAATTGATAGTTCAAGAGAACAACATTTATTTGAAATTGAAATCTTTTGTGACATTTTAATGTCACTTTGAATCAATTTAATGTTTTAATTATTAAAAGTTTTAATTTATTTACAAGTTAAATCATTTTGGACTCAAACATGGCCGTCATGGCAAAGAAAATGTGATATATAAATGTCAAATAATTAAATTTTTTAATATATTTTTTGATTATGTCATAGAAACTTTTTAGTAGTTTTTTTAATGGAAGATACAAAAACAAGTGAGTTAGAACAAAATACAGCCTTACTTGGAACTGATGAAGATTAATTAACCAGCTTGACTTAATTTTTTTTGCCATGTGTTCACAAAAAGAATGACTGTCACCGACTGCTGATGGCAGACCGGGGAATTCACAACACATTCTTTGGCCTACTTTTCTGTCCAAATAGTTCATGCATATTCATGTGGAAATTTCACTTTTATGTGCAACGGCACAATTAGTTTGCTTTCAGCACTTTTGCAGCCCTCACACAGAGCAAACAGGAAGTTAAGAAATGATAAATGACACCCTCATGTTATTCTCTGACTGCTTTTGGGTTTAATGAAGGGAAAGAAATCACACAGATATGGCATCTCTTGTGTTTTCTGCTTTATCAACATCAGAATGCCATCAAAAGCTGCCATGAGGGGCCACAGTTTAGCATTAGTTAGGATCTAACCAGGTTACACCACAGTTTGAAATTTTATATATATATAATTTCATATAACTGTGATTGAACCTGTTATCACCTCCATTCAAAAGTTTAGTATAAGAGTGTTTTTTTGTTTGTTCTTTTTTTAGTAAGGATGCATTCAATTGATTTAAGTGACAGTAAGGACATTTATAATGTAACAAAATATTTCAATTTTAAATTATTTTATTTGAAATTTAAACAAATGCTGTTCTTTTTAACTGTCTATAAACCAAAGAATCCTGAAAATAATGTATCATGGTTTCCACAAAAATATTAACCGTTTTCAACATTTATAATAATACTAAACGTTTCTTGATCAGCATATTAGAATGATTTCTGAAGGATCATGTGACACTGAAGACTGGAGTAATGATGCTGAAAATTCAGCTTTGCATCACAGGAGTAAAT